CACACCTGTAATCCCAGGCCTTTCTTTGGGGGTCGCCGAGGCGGGCAGGTCACGAGGTCAGGAGTTTGAGACCATCCTGGCCAACACGGCGAAACCCGGTCTTTACTAAAAATACAAAAAATTAACTGGGTGTAGTGGTGGGTGCCTGTAATCCCAGCTACTCAGGAGGTGGAGGTTGCAGTGAGCTGAGATCGTGCCACTGCACTCCAGCCTGGGCAACAGAATGAGATTCCATCTCAAAAACAAAAAGGCCAAAGATAAAAGGTTTCTTTTCTTTCCTTTTATTTTTATTTTTTTAAGATGGAGTCTTGCTGTGTCACCCAGGCTGGAGTGCAGTGGCACCATCTTGGCTCACTGTAACCTCCACCTCCCAGGTTCAAGTGATTCTCCTGCCTCAGCCTCCCGAGTAGCTGGGATTACAGGCGCATGCCATCACGCCCAGCTAATTTTTGTATTTTTAGTAGAGACGGGGTTTCACCATGTTGGCCAGGCTGGTCTCGAACTCCTGCCCTCATGATCTGCCCGCCTCGGCCTCCCAATGTGCTGGGGTTACAGGCGTGAGCCACTGCGCCTGACCTTTTTTTTTCCTTTTTTTGTCTATGAAGTTGCTATTTTTTTGGGGGGAGGCCTGTTTGATGTATGTGTGAAACAATGTTGTCCAACAATAAACAGGAATTTCATTTTGCTGAGTTGTTCTTAAAAAAAAAAATAGCTGCAATGTCCCAGAGAGAAAAGTAATAAACAAGTAGGCTTTCAAAAATATCAAGGTTATTGGTGTTTAAAATCAAACTATGGCTAGGCACGGTGGCTCACGCCTGTAATCCCAGCACTTTGGGAGGCTGAGGAGGGAGGATCACTTCATGCCAGAAGTTCAAGACCAGCCTGGCCAACATGGTGAAACTAAAAATACAAAAATTAGCCAGGGGTAGTGGTGCACACCTGTAATCCCAGCTACTCGGGAGGCTGAGGCAGGGGAATCACTTGAACCTGGGAGGCGGAGGTTGCAGTGAGCTGAGATCACACCACTGCACTATACTCTGGGTGACAGAGTAAGACTCCATTTCAAAAAACTTTTTAAATAAAATCAAACCATTAGAGTAGTTCAGACTTCCCCTAACACTTGCAGGGCCCAGACTAAGAATGCAAAAGAAGGCCCAAATATGCTACATCCAGGTATTTAAGTTGCAAATCGAATTAAACTGTCAGAGAAAACATGCTCTATCTTCCTAGCTTGACAAATGCACCTTTCTAAAATATTAAACATTTTTTTTGGCAGGGGGTGTGGAGGGGACAGAGACTCGCTCTGATGCCCAGCCTGGAGTGCAGTGGCACGATCTTGGCTTGCTGCAACCTCCACCTCTCAAGTGCAAGCAATTCTCCTGCCTCATCCTCCCAAGTAGCAGGATTACAGGCGTGGGCCACCACACCTGGCTAATTTTTCTAATTTTTTAGCAGAGACAGGGTTTCACCATGTTGACCAGGCTGGTCTCAAACTCATAACCTCAGGTGATCTGCCCACCCCAGCTTCCCAAAGTGCTGGGATTACAGAACATTAAACTTTTAAAATTGGTTTAAAGCTCTATTTCTCCTAAAGTTAAAAATGGAGCTAGTGCAATGGTGTGCACCTATAAACTCAGCTACCCAGGAGGCTGAGGCAGAAGGATTACTTGGCTCAAGAGTTTGAGACCAGCCTGGGCAACACAGCGAGACTTTGTCTTAGAAAAAAAAAAAAGGCAAAATGTCAAGATAATTGAGTGTTATTATGGTTGAAAGTGTCTGGATGCTCTGATGATAAGCTGGTGATTTGGGGATGAGCAAAAAAATAAAATACATATTGCATTTTTTTTTTTTTTTTTTTTGGCCTTCACTTATTTTATTTTCCAAGACGGAGTCTCACTCTATCACCCAGGCTGGAGTACAGTGGTGCGATCTCGGCTCACTGCAACCTCTGCCTCCGGGGTTCAAGCAATTCTCCCGCCTCAGCCTTCTGAGTAGCTGGGATTACAGGCATGCGCCGCCATGCCCGGCTAATTTTTGTATTTTTAGTAGAGACGGGGCTAGTCCTACATACATACAAATGTAAGAATAGCATGCATCATTCAGTGTTACAAAATGTTTCTCAGGTCCTATACGCAACTGTAGTGAATACCAAAGTAATTTAAGTACCTCAGGAATCAGAACTGGAATGTGACAAGAACATGAATGCTCAGCATACCAATATTTCAATTTGGCAAGAGCCAATTGCTTTCATGCTATCCACGTGTAAGGATTTGGCAGGCAATTATGTTTGTTTCTTCCCTAAGTGCCTCCTCCTCTGGACTCCTTCCTCTAATTGGAACGGTATCTGCTTTGACATCAATGGCATACAACCCACAAACTCTCATGACCTTCGATGCAGATGCCTTGTGTTTTGGGAGCATAGATCAAGAGATATCTCTTGGTGAGCAGCGTTGCACATAAGCGTGGGTGTTTAGGGCTTTAGGTCATGCTGTGCCAGAATAGGGCATGGGGTCCTGAGAGACGAAAGTACCATTTGCCTGTAACAAAGCAACATAGGTATTGGGGTGTATAAAATGTGTTGGGGTGCTAGGGTTCAGAGCAGGGTCCCTCTTGCCTGGGTCTAAAGGAGATACGGCTGCAGTTCATGAACAAAACATTTGTACTAATTATGCCAAGAAAATTCTTTGTTCAACCTGATTCTACCCCTTTTAGGTATCCAATATAATAAATTACAACTCCATAGTATTAAATTAATATCTTCTTAAAGTAGAATCATAAGAACAATGGAGAAATATAGTAATAAGGGAAACAATAAATTGGGGTCCTGTTCACTAGCAAATCGTGCCTGTTCATTGTTGAAAATGTGAAAATGAAGGTAAATAGCATTATTTCCTAAAGCACGTACACAGGGTAGAGCTGTTGTAATTGTGTTTTTGTCTTTTTGCAGTTCAGAAAGTTTCCTAGGCCGGACGCAGTGGCTCACACCTGTAATCTCAGCATTCTGGGAGGCTGAGGTGGGCAGATCACCTGAGGTCAGGAGTTTGAGACCAGCCTGGCCAACATGACGAAACCCCATCTCTACTAAAAATTACCCACTTTCCCTAGTTCATTCAACAGTGGGATTCCTGTGGATTTATGTTTTCTAGTTTTGTGGGGGGAAAATCAGAACTACTTTGCCAGAGGAAGTAAAAGTTCAGCTGAGACTTAAGGAGATGGCATTCAGCCACATGAAGTGCAGTAATCCAGGTAAAGTATCGACCTATATATCCCCCTGGTTCTCAGTAGTGCTCAGGGGACATTCCCATTAGTGATGATTCACGTGGCAGTGAGCAGGAGAGGCAGCTGACTGCCACGCAGGACCACTGTTGCTTTACTCCTAGCTATTTCTCTTGCTCAAGCAGTAGTATACAAGTGGGCATGTCATATATTAAAAAATACATATTCAATATATACAAATATGTATCATATATTATTTGTATTATATATATCTATAGGTATCCATCTATCTATCTAGGAAACAACATTAAGAAATGTAAGAGCTGGTCCCTTGCACTGGAGAAGTTTATACAGCAGTGAAGGATATAAACAGGAGAATCAGACTTAGGGAATATGAATAAGGAAAAAACATCACAAAATGCCAGGTGAGTGAGTGACCTGCATCATACTTGCACTTAAAGCTTCATCTCTTCACTCCCTGAACAACCAGTGAAACAGAAGGCAAGGACAGGGGAACTGGCTGCCAGCTGATTTTGATGTCTTATGCCACCAAGAACTTCTTTCTGGCCTGGAGCAATGGCTCATGCCTGTAATCCCAGCACTTTGGAGGCTAAGGCAGGTGGATCACTTGAGGCCAGGAGTTTGAGACCAGCCTGGCCAACATGGTGAAACCCTGTCTCCACAAAAAATACACAAATTAGCCAGGCGTGATGGCGCACACCTCTAGTCCCAGCTACTTGGGAGGCTAAGGCATAAGAATCGCTTGAACCTGGAAGGTGGATTTGCAGTGAGCTGAGATTGTGCCACTGCACTCCAGCCTGGGTGACAGAGCAAGACTCTGTCTCCGGAAAAAAAAAAGAAGTTCTTTCTGATATCCAGGACCTCTTCCGTCAGAAAGAAAAACACCACGAAAAGAAACCAG